GGTGGCGGGGCGGGGGGGGGGGAGGGGAGCAGCTGGGTCAAGGGTGGCAAGGGGAAAACAGGGGCAGGGGGGGCGTGAACAGGGGGAGCGGCAACAGGGACAGGACCCGGATCCGCCATGACCTCCTGGATCATGGCGCACACATTTTCGCCCTGATGCACCAGCTCGCTCCACAGGCGCTCGTGCCACTCGGCCTCCGCACGAAACTTGTCGTCGAGGGTTTGCTGGAGGTCTCGAAGGACCTGGATGTGCTGGCGCATCAGGTTGTGGTGTACGTGCCAGTGCCTGTGGCTCCCACAGCTTCGGTTGGTTGGCGGGGCTGGTCTGGCTCGCCCCTCATGGACAGCTGGTCTGGCTGTGGAGGACAAGAGGGAGAGGCAGTCAGTCATCCATGCACACGCAGCGAACAGGGGACGCTAATGTCCTGACAGCAAGGCCAGGTGTGGCCTGGCCAGCAGCCCCAGCCTCACAGGGGCTCTGAGATGCACAGGGGACCATCCTGCCTACCCCCGCCCTCCCACCATGGAGAAGCAGCACAGGGAAGTATCCAGCCACAGGGGGTTCCCAGGTGCGGAAGAAGGGCCTGGAGCAGCCTGGCTTTCCTTGAGGCGTGCACACACACACCTGCACCTGGCAGCGCTGTCTGCAGGAGCAGGTGGTGCCTTGCGCGTGCAGGCATGGCTATCTGCGATACTTATCGGTCTGTGCGGGGTCATGCATGCGCCCTTGTGCCCAGTCTGCTTCCAGCAGTGCCTGGGGGACAGCCCTCTCTGGGGTTGGATGTGTGTGGGGCCTCCCCCTAAACTGTGAGCAGCAGCCCGTGTGTGCTCTGGGACTGACTCTTGAGGCCACATGTTGCATACAGCCGCTGCATGTGCACAGCCAGCTGCAAGCTGTGCAGGTCGGGCAGGACAAGTGACGATCATGCCCCATCCCCTGTTCTCCCGCCTCCCCTGCCCTGTGTGTGTGCCAACCTCACAGCACTCGCCTGATGTTCTTTCCCTGGCGTCAGAGGATGCCTGAGAGGTGTGCTGGGCCTGGGGGACCGGCTCCAGGTTGAGGATGACAACACTGCCAGTGTCCCCCTCCTCCTGCAGCTGCTGGTCATCGTCCAGCCATCTGGCTGGATCACAACGGGTGTCTCCAACCCCGACTCCACAAGGATGCATGGAGACAGGGGTTGCCTATCCCCAGGATCTGATGGAGCTCCTGGAAGAAGAGGCAGTAGTGTGGGGCTGCTCTGGAGCGGGAGCTGTGATCACGGGCCCGAGCAGCAGACTTGGTCAAGGGGCCAGAGCTTCGGCCATGCAGCCATAGGTGTCTGCATTTCGGCGGCACGACTGAAGGATCTGGAGGGACACCTCCTCGGCTCAGAGCTCCAGGAGAACCTGGATCTCAACCCCCGACCAGGATGGGGCCTGGGACAGCTCCCTGGAAGGGCTGGAGGCCCTTGGGGGCCTTGTGGCTCTGCCATGGCTGCTGGCTGGTGTGGCAGGGAGAGCCGTGCAGTCAGGGTGCTGCTGTGAGGCCTGCGGCTTTAAGTTGTGGCTGGAGACAGGAACTATAGAGCTGTGATTAGAATAGATGGATTGTCTACCAGGGCACCTGTGGTTTTTCCTGGAGGCCTCTTTTTTCGAAAGAACTGACTCCCCCACATCCACATATGCCTTTTTTCGAAACATCTCTTTCAAAAAAGGCATTTTTCCTCATAATTTGAAGTTTACCAATTTTGAAATAAAGCGCAGTTGGCAGTTATGGTGAGGATGGTATTTAGTGATTTCATCGTAAAAGAAGAGATACTAAAAGTATTGCCTATGAAAGGGCGAACAAAGGGTGAGGACATCTATAATTTATTTAAATTATACACAACATCAATTAGTATGCCACTACACAAGCTGTCTGCGATCACCATTGACGGGGCACAAGCAATGGATTCATTGCACTCTGAAAAAAGAATGAATCCTTTCCAAAATTTATGACTTATCACTGCATTATCCACCAAGAAGCTTTGTGCGTCAAAGTTCCTTCTTTTCAACATGTCATGAATGTCGTTATTAAAATAATTAACTCTCTATTCGAGCGAAACCTTTGCAACACCGACTTTTTAAGGCCCTGTTGGAAGATGTTGATGATAAACAATCTGATCTTATCTTGCACACACAAGTACAATGGCTGAGCAAAGGTAAAGTTCTTGCACGTTTTTTAAGCCTACGTGAAGAGATCAAAGAATTTCTGAAGTCCATAAATCAGAACTTCGAGCAACTAGAAGACTCCAGCTGGTTAACGGACTTGGCTTTTCTTGCTGACATCAGACAAATTGAACATTTTAAATCTTGAGCTCCAGGGAAAAGACAAACATGTGGCTCAAAGATAGGTTCTGTAAAATCATTCAAAGCAAAACTGATCTTGTGGATGTCACATAAGAAGACGAAGTCTCTCGTACATTTCCCAAGAATAAAGAAAATGGTATATGACAGTGATTTTAACCCTTCACCATTTGTTATCCACATTCAAAGACTTCTGGAACAATTTGAAAAGAGATTTCAACAGTTCACCATCATTGAGCCTATAGTTGCCTTTCTTGTGAATCCTTTTACTTGCCAAACAGAGGTAACAGAAATGGCTACATCAATTGTGAGTCTCATTCAAGTAAGAACAGAAGAAGTGGAACTGGAGATTTTGGACCTTCAAAATGATATTGTTCTAAAATCCTGTGCAACAGATGAAAACTTTTGGAGTCTGGTTGACCAAAAAAAGTTTCCTGCCTTAAAAAATGTAGCATACAAAATAAAATCTTATTTCGGTTCCACTTATCTATGTGAAGTTCTGTTTTCAACAATGAACATCATAAAATCAAAATACAGATCTCAGCTTACAGATGCCCATCTTGACGATTGCTTACGAATGGGAATATCATTCTACTCTCCCAACTATGAAAAATTGGCTGAAGAAATGCAGTGCCAAAAATACTGACTATTAGAAAAACCACGTGACTTAATGAAATCCTATTTTCCATTAAGTGCTGATGAGCGAGTACGATTAACTTTGTGTTTAACTATTTTTCATATTTGTTTGTTTGTTTATTGAAATCCAGTTACAAGTAACAATACAAAGAATATTTTTTAATTAACCATAACTGGCTATCTATGTTAAAGTAAGAATAATAAATATATTTGGACCAGCAGTTCAATAATGTTTTACTTTTTTAAAATAAATAAGATGAAAACTGTTTATGATATTTATTTTGTAAAAACTCCTTAATTTTTCTTACAGGTAGATAATAAAGAGCAAATTCACATGGTAAGGTGAAAGAGTAATTGCCGAATAATTTAATTAATACTGTAGTAAAAACTAAGTGTGCTTCTTCCCCTCCATTGCTTAAGCTCAAAACAGCACGTATCATTTAGCTGATTGCGCATGCCTTAGAAGCTGCTAAACTTTCTGCCAGGGAACTGAGTAAACTTGCAGTGACCAATCACGTTGCGACATGCTGACCAGAAAGAATGTGAAATCTATAAAAGTTTCAGCTCAGGCGATGCTCAAGGTCGACCTTGCTTTGAGCACTGAGCTCCTCGGTCGAACTTGTTTGCAAACAATAAATGGAGTTGGACCCAGCCTGAAAGTGTGACTCTCTTCTTGAGGCAAATTGAACTAGCCTCCAGGGGACGAAACTAGCAATTTATGCAACAATACCTTTTACATGTAAAATTACCTTTTTTATCTTAGGGATTCATATATTATGTAACATTAAATATGATGTTTTTTGTATTATTTAATGTACAAATACAAAATAAGCCTTGAGAAACTGTTGGCGCCCACCACACTCTTCTGAAAACATGAATGTGCTATTGGCCACAAAAACATTGGGGACTACTGCCAGAGGCATTAGTGCAGTCTCCAGAGAAATGGAGGTACACCTAGTGTTACAAGACAAGACTCACATGCAACAAGGTGAATAAAACCCCACTTCATCACACAAGGAAACCTGTCAAAACTTGTATGATGAGTAAAGGTATAAAGTTAGTATGATTCAGGTTCTTCAGAGATGCCACCCCTTCTGATAATCACAGGGACAGGACTCCTTACCCAGTGAGGTCACATTCTCATAGTTCTCCTTCATGACGGCTCTGTAGAGGGCTCTCTGATCAGGGCCCAGCAGAGCCCACTCTTCCTTGGTGAAATACATAGTCACCTCCTCAAAGGTCACAGGCCCCTGGAAAAGAAAAAGTCCAACACTCAGGACTTGCTTCTTCAGCCACAACCCCACAATTCACAGAAGATAAATGGTGAAGTAACTCAAATCCTATTGATCTAATATTTTAGGCTTAAATTTGCATTTTTATTTATTTGCTAGGTAATCTGCTTCGATCTGTTTGCTATCATGCATAATCTTGCATCTTTCCCAGTGTGTTTTGAATGAGGTGTCTGTGGAAAAATCTCAGCTTGCTTAACACAAGTGGGTTATATGTATCTTCCCCACACTGTGAGGAGGTAAACTACGTTAATGAGCTTACATTGCACAGATCCCTGTGCAGTTTAAGATGATATAATTCTGGGTTTATGCTCTGGCAGAGGTGCAAAGCCGGGGAGCAAGAAGACTAGAGCCAATTTCCTATCTGTCCTTGAGTGGTTCAGGTAAAGCACTCAGGTAGCTCTGTTGAGTGTGACACCACCAGTTGCCATGTTGATAACAAAGCCTGGAGAGACCGGCTGAAACTCCAGCAAAGCAAAGTGAGAAGGGCCACCCAACCTAAGGGACAGAGGGCACAGTGGTTCCTAGAAACCTTGCAGGCTGCACTACCATCGCTAGTAGCTCCCACTCTCCTATGTATTTACTGCTCATCTTCCTCCAAAGAACTCACCAGCAGCTCCCTGATAACCCCTTACCTGAGCCAGCTCCATGGCAGCCATTTCCTTCCCCCTAGGGATGCGATACTCTGGAACAAAATGCGGATGTTATTCTGTAGCCTGCCAGGGTGAGACGGGCCAAGCAAGAGAAAGCAGAGGGACTTTTGTCCATTCCACACAAAAATTCCCCTTAGGATTTTTCCCTGCTAACCCACACTCTAGGCCAGGGCTGGTCAAAATACGGCCCAGCCAAGGCACCAGATCCAGCCCATGAAACCACCCTGCTGGGACCCTCAAGCACGCAGCTGCAGCAGTTTAAAACACAGTCCCTGCTACTCTCTGCTCTGCAGGGAGAGGGAGGCTTTGTGTGATCTACCTGCCCCCAGCCAAATCTTCGGCTCCGACTGGCCAGAAACAACCAGCCAATAAGAAATGACTTCAGCCAATCTCTCATCTCCTATTGGCTGGGAACATCCAGCCAACTGGAGCTGAGAGATTGGCCTGAGAGACTGGGGCAGCAGCAGCCTCTTTCCCCACACAGAGTTGAGAGCCATGTGGAGGGAGCAGACTGAATTTTCAAGCGGGCTGGGGCTGCAGCAGGCAGGGAGCCCAGTCTGCCTTGGGGGTGCTACAGCCTGCTGGCCGGGAGACACTTAGGTAAATTCCTCCCAGAGGGCACCTGCCTCTGGCACCCCAACCACTCCTGCACCCCAAATCCTTCCCTCAAATCACCATCCAAGCCCTCTGCACCCCCTGCCCCAGGTGACATCTCCCTCCCAGATTCTGTACCCTCTCCTAGACCCCCCCCCAGGCCAGAATCCTCTCCTGCAGCCACACACACCCCTGACCCTACACCCTAATCCCCTGCCCCAAGTCACAACCCTCTCCTCCACCCTAACACCCTCTCAGACCCCACACCCTCTCCTGAACCCCAGTCCCTTCCCCTGTGCGCCCTTCTGTATCCAGCCTCCATCCTAGACCCCACACCCCCTCCACAGAAAAGTGCGGCCCTTGACCACTTACCAAAAACTTGGAGTGGGCCCCCCCACCAAAAATTACTGCCCATCGCTGCTCGAGGCTCAGTCACATTGTGAAGCACACCCCTCCCACCAGAATGTTTTTCACTGGAATGCCTAAGAGGAAGCTGCTTTTCTGACTTCTTAGTAGCCAGTGTTGCGAAACTGAAGTTTACTGTTGCTGGGGTATATCTTAGGACAGTGTTTCCCAATTAAAAAACGAATATCTTTATCTTTGCATTCTGAATGATTTTTTTCAAAACGTCTTCACAATTTAGCAGGTACTAAACAACTATTAGATAATATTTTGTTGCATAGTACACACTGGAGCATCTTTATTTCCATTGCTTGTGAATGCAAATGACAAATAGTCCTCACGATACCTGCGTTTCTTATTACGTGGCTGTAATTTTTCATTATTAACTTGAACTGCCTTGGTGTCTTCCCTGCAAGTTTCAGTAACAACATGGGGGTTTGAAGTACTCACTTTAAAGAAAAGTTCCTTCTTTTAGCCAATGATCCATGGGGAAATTTGGTATCAATAATGTAATTCTATGTGTAGATACTATTAACTTGTATTGTTAAAGTCACGCACGTGAGCCACGCTTCCTGACAGCAAGTAAGGGATTTCCGGAGTAATATACCATGTGATCACACCGACTGACAGCACCGCCCTACGCTCTGCGTTTCCAAAGAGACCTAGTAGCAGCAGCAGCTGCAGATCCCGCTTCTCTTGCTCAGCACAAGAGTCCTCTCCCTCTCTGCCTTTCCAAAGGGACCGAGTAGCAGCAGCTTTGGAAAGGCAGAGTGGTAGTGGTGGTGGTGAGAGGAAGGGGAGGACTCTTCTGCTGAGCAAGAGAAGTCGGATTGGCAGCAGCTGCTGCTGCTACTAGGTTGCTTTGGAAAGGCAGAGTGGCAGTGGGGGAGGGGAGGTGTCTGAAAGCCCAGTGGGGAAGCAAAGGAGGAGCCAGCATCTTTGCATGCCGGCTCCTCTCTGTCTCTTTAAGGGAGGAGGGGGAGTGTTCGGGTTCCCACGGAATCCTTACTTTCACTTTGCGGAACCCCGGAGTTCCGCAGAGCACCATTTGGGAAACACTGTCTTAGGGAGACTAACCACCAGGTTTGGGGTGTATCTGCCCTATATCTCAGCAGTTTGTCCTGAATCTGTTATTCTCGGGGGTGATCCACAGAGGCATGGTGACACCTCTGTCCCCGTGTGCCCTGCAACCCTCTTCCCATTTAACCTTTGGCTCAAAGTGTCACCCCAGTAGTTCCTGAACCCATGCTGCAGTCTATACCCCCTCCAGCCCCATAGCCATTCTGAACCCCAGCCTGTTTCTTCCCCGGCAGTCACAGGTACCCCACTCTGTCTAATCTAACCTGGCTCCACAGGCTGTGCTGTGCTGAATGCTAGCCAATCTGGCACTATAGTGGCCTTTGATGGGTGAAAGGGGAAGTGCAGAACTTCTTAGGCAGTATGTTTTATCTGCAGAAAAAAGAAGAAATTCTGTGCTGGACATGAATTCTGCATGTGAGGAGTAACTCACATGCTGCACAAACCTCATCTGCTTACTCCCTTTTCTTCTTCCTAGGCCTCAGAGTTCCAGAGCTGCTGTTGTCTCTGACACACACAGGCTTTCATTCCCATTACTGCTGGTGGGACCCAACCCAGTTCCAAGAGTGAACCTTAATTTCCCATTCACACAGACAGCCTCACCTGAAGGGGAGCTGAAGGAGGGGAGAGGACACAAAGGGAAAAGGAGTGAAACTGTAAGCTATAGCCTTGTTGGTCCCCGGATATTAAATTCAAATCCCAGAATATTAAATTGAAAATTCAAACGGTTCTTTTTGGTTTATCTTTCATTCAGTGTTGCAATTGTTAGATCACAGTTAGAAAACTGAAATGAAATAACCATGGCAGGTTAAGAGGAGAGTGTTTGGCATTGGGCATAGATGGGATGTAACAATAAAGGGAAATAACATGATCTTGGTAACTAATTGACCATTCATTATCAGTCGTAAATAGGTCAATGGAGGGATGATAGGAGTTACTATAGAGAACTTTCTGGGTGTCTGGCTGGTGAGTCTTGCCCACATGCTCAGGGTTTAGCTGATCGCCATATTTGGGGTTGGGAAGGAATTTTCCTCCAGGGTAGATTGGCAGAGGCCCTGGAGGTTTTTCGCCTTCCTCTGTAGCATGGGGTACAGATTACAGCTGGAGGATTCTCTGCATCTTGGGGTCTTCAAAGTATTTGAAGGCTTCAATATCTGAGATAACGGCGAGGAGTCCTGTGGCACCTTATAGACTACCTGAAGTGTAGGAGCATAAGCTTTCGTGGGCAAAGACCCACTTCGTCAGATGCATGTCTTTGCCCACGAAAGCTTATGTTCCCACACTTCAGTGAGTCTATAAGGTGCCACAGGACTTCTCACTGCTTTTGCAGATTCAGACTAACAGGCTACCCCTCTAATATCTGAGATATAGGTGAGAGGGGGTGGGTGAGATTCTGTAGCCTGCACTGTGCAGGGGGTCAGACTAGATGATCATAATGGTCCCTTCTGACCTTAAAGTCTATGAGTCTGAGAAAGGATTGTGCAAAAAGGAAAAGGCCAAAGGAACAGAGCCCTTGAGCCTTCAACCAGCCCCAGTCAGACCTGGGTGGGACCCTAACCAATCACCTATCCTGCTTGGCAGTGAGCACGGCATGTCCCAGTTGGAGCTATGGCGTGTGCATGTATCTGCTCCGCTGATGTGCTACTTCACTATGAATGCAGCATGGCCGGGGGAGGGAGCTGGTCCCCGCCCCTCCCGACTCTCCCAGGAGTGCCCCAGGGCGGAGCGTGGCCTGGGCCGCCCGCGGGCACAGGCACACGCGGGGGGCCCAGCCGCTGCCCTGCCCCGCCCGGGGCTCTCTCCGTTACCTGCAGGCTCGGGCTGGGCAAATGAAAGTCTGACCCCAGCACCGCCTGATGCTCAGCCCGGGCTCCCCGCGCAGAATGGAGGCAGCAGCGCGGCTTTCCCCCGAGAGCCGATCGCACTTTGTTCTGGTTCCTCCAGCACCCGCCAGCGATCCCAGCTCCCGCCAGGCTGCCTCTGCGCCTGAAGCCTGCGGGTAGGCGGGATCTCCCTGGGAAGCTGCTTAGAAAGCCCCATGTGTTCTGGGAAATGTAGTCTCCGGGATTTCTGCCTTTCCCTTCCCTGCCCGGAGCCAGCGCCAGATTTATGCGCAAGCGAAATAAAATGCAGTTTAGGGCTTCAGATGACGAGGGGCCTCTAAATATAAAACAATTACTACTTTTTACTTGCATCCTCGCCTATGTACAGGTATATATGGCAAATATAATACTTAATTTTTTTCTCTCTTGATTGTTCTTTCTGTTAGAATAATACACATTTTTGGTAATGCCTTGGGCCCTCTTAAACTCGACATTGTTTAGGGCCTTAGCACATCTTAATCTGGCCCTGCCAACAGCCCGAGAATTAGAGAGACAAAATGTGCTCTTGTCCTGGAGCTGTGGAGTAAATTATTGCCATTCTTCCCTTGGCTCATATCTCTGGGCAGAATTCCCAAGCGTGACATCCCTCCCTAGATACTTTTGGGGCATTCTCCGAAGTTCTCTGCTTAGTCTCCCCTTTTGGATTTCTGATTTTGCACCTTTGACCCTCGCTCCGGCCCTGTGATTCATTAGTTGCCCTCTTAATTATTTGAATCCCGGATCCAGTAACTCACTCCCTCAAGATGGGGAAGGGGCTTTTAGATGCAGTGAGGCTTGCTTCTGGCAGCTCGCCTCCCAGGTTTCAATAGGTGCACAAGCTGGGCAGTGGAGCCAGGCCCGGTGCAAGTCAGCAGCCTTGCTCTTAATTCCTGCCAAACTCGTTAAACTCCCCTCTCTGTCACTCTCAGGAGTGGCAAGTGATAAGGACCCCTGCTGCCTGGGCTCCAGGAATATTTTGTGCCTCCCCCAGTATGTCCACCAGCCCCGCTGCCGCTCCTGAGCAGTTTTCCTTCTAAGGTGTGCACCTGTGTAGACACACACCAAGAATTTGAGGCCCGCCCACCTCCTCAGCAGAACCGAGCAGTGGTGGCTCAGCTGTTCCAGGGCAGGGCCATGTACTGCCCACCCCAGGGGCAGCAAGGCAGCCATCACACAGACCTGACCTTAGCTTCTGCCCTCCTGCAGGGCTGGAGCTGTGGTCCACGTGGTGGGCGGCATCTGCTCCAGCAGCCCCAGCTGGGGCCAGAGCTGGAGCTGCATCACATGTGGGCGGTGGCGGTGGCTGTGCGTTGGATGGGCTAGGGCTGCATAGTAGGGGGCGGGTAGCCTGCTCCGGCAGCTGGGGTGGGCTGGGGCCACATGACAGTGTGTGTGTGGGGGGGGGGTGCTACGTGAGAGAGTTTCTTGGGGAGCAGCACCACGTGAATGCCAGAGTAGCACACATCCAAACAAGCCCACATGACCTCATTGTTGGTACACAAGACAAAACTCACTCCACACAAGGATGGAAAATCTTAGAGCGGTGGTTCTTGAACTTTTTTGCCTGTGGACCACTTGGCTCAACGCAAGCCTGTCCATGAACCACCAGTTCCTAATGGAAACTCATTATTAATTACATAATTACCCCGAGTCATTTTGCTAGTGCGGCAGCTAGGGAGAATGGTTTAACTGAAATGATTAAACAGATTCAATATTTTAACTTTCTCATGTTAGTCTATTAAACTTCATTTTAAGTCAAGTAAAATATTAATTTATGTCCAACACAAAAGGTTTCAATGTTTTCTTTATTTATGGCAGGGGTGGGGAACCTTTTTTGGGTCACATGCCACTGACCCAAATCAGTTGGGTCCCACAAGTGAGAAGGAAAAAACCTTCTCCAATGCCCTCCCCCCACTGATTTGGCCCCCAACTGTGATACCTCACTCCACTGGTGTTCCAGTCCAGTGAAGCAAAAGGAAGGGCAGCAGTGGATTTAGGGCAGGGCAAGCGGGGCGGCTGCCCCGGGACCCGCGCTTCCCGAGGCCATGCGCTGTGTCAAAGGAGGGGCCCTGCAAAATTTTGCTGCCCTGGGCCCCGCGGCACTTTCATCCGCCCCTGGGGAAGGGTCAGGGAAGACTGAGGTTCAGAGCTTCCCGTAGGCCAGATTTACTTTTCTGGGGCCCCAGAGTTAATGGATTTTGTGGAGCACCTTAGGCTCTGGGGTGGGTACAGAAATGAGGTGTTCAGGGCAGGGTTGCAAGAGAGTGGACTAGGGATGGGGATGCAGGATCTAGGCAGGAGGAGGGGTGCAGGATGCGAGGTCTGGGTGGGAGGTAGGGTGCGGAAGCAAGCTGGGAGTAGTGTGTCTTCCCAGGGGGGAGGGAGCAGGAGCAAGAGCAGTGTGTGGCCAGGAGGGAGGATGCAGGAGCAGGCTGGGGAGTGCGGGATCTTGGCAGGGTATGGGGGGTGAAATAGGGGGATTAGGGTACAGAGGTCTGGGCTTGAAAGGGGGATGCTTACTTGGCTTCGTGCTCCTGTTGCTCCCATTGGCCAGCGAATAGGAGCAGTGGGGAAAGCCTCCAGACAGCACGTTACTGCTCTACTCCTTCCCTGGTGGAGTAGAGAGGGGGTGTGTTGTACTTAAAAGAAGTACTCGGGATCTTTTTCAGAGGGATAAGGCAACATGCCACATTTATTGATCACACATAGAATAATCAATACTTATCATATGCATATGATACATCACACTCATGCACTCTCACACACACACAAGCACACTCCATCTTGTTGTTACCAAAAGTTGCTCCCCCTAACTGCACTGGCCAGGTGAGTTAGATGGGGGAG